GCCCAGCAAAGGACAGTTTGCAGGACTTCTGCCTGGGCTTCTATCCCAGCCTTTGCTTGTTATCACCACATGGCTGAGCTGCAGCAGGGGCCCCTTCGGCAGGAAGGCTCTGCAGAACTGTCTTGAATTCAGCCATTGTCTCATCCAGGGACCACACTGTGACTGCATAGCCCAGTTTGCTTTGCAGGCACTGGGCAGGGGGATATGTGGGGTGGGGTACTTACCAGTGGATTTCTCTTCTTACTGTCAAAAATAAGGCAGACTTACCCACCTTTAAAACCAATAAAGTTTAATTCCGGGTATAAGCTTTCATGTGCATGCACACAAAAGCTTATACCCAGAATTAAACTTTGTTGCGTGCACACGAAAATTTGTACCCAGAATTAAACTTTGTTGCATGCACACGAAAATTTATACCCAGAATTAAACTTTGCTGCATGCACACGAAAACTTATACCCAGAATAAAACTATCTTGGTCTTAAAGGTGCCAACTGGACTCCAACTTTGTTCCGTTGCTTCAGACCAACACAGCGACCCACCTGAGCCCATCCTTAATAGTTTGATGTTACACGTACAGGCTGGGGGAAGCAGAGGAGAGATCTTTCCCTGTTCTGTAGCATTTCTCTGTAACCTTTAGTAGGCGTAGCTCCCTTTCTGCATGGAGGAGGAGAGTTCTACTTAAGGATGATCCAGCGCCATCTGAGCAAATGGACACCCCCTCCTCCTCCCAGTGGAAGACATAATTGCCAAAGGCCTTTCCTGCTGCTTGGAGGAAGTACCATGCCAAACTGCAATACTTCCATTACGAAGAGGAAGAATTTATTGTGAAGTAACAAAATCCCTCAATTTGTTTTGTACAGTACGTCTCTTGAACACATAAAGTTGCCTTATACTGAATCGGACCCTTGGTCCATCAAGTCAGTGTTATCTACTCCGTCCGGCAGTGGCTCTCCAGGGTCCCGGAGAGAGGAGTTTTACATCACCAACCACCTGACCCTTTTAGCTGGAGATGTCAGGGATTAAATTTGGGGCCTTTTGCAGGCCAAACAGATGCTCTGCTGATGATCTGCGGCCCCCGCCTACCATCCCTGGTTCCCCCCCCCCCCCCCCCCCCCGTCTCCTCAAAAGGAAGAAGAGAGAAGGCCATGAGGAGGCCACCGTTCTGTTTAGAAACTGATGGAAGGCTGTAAACTTTGCTATGATAGTTTAAGGGGCTAGGAAATTGTTGTGACTTCTGTCACTTTTTGCTGAAGAGAATGCAGGGAAGAGATTATTATAAGATTATTTTGTTGGGCAAATACATAGAGAGCAAATGGAGCTGTGAGTGAGGGATGAGTGGCAAGAGAGAACTGATACTACTGTGAAAAGAGGGAGAAAAGTGAAAACACTCTGGGTAGATTGACAATGTTGTCACTGTCAGATAATACTGTTCACTTAGTGGCCATGCTTCACTGGGAAACACTTGACTTCTGTGCTCTTAAGCCATGGACAGCTGATGTTTTTGAATCTCATAAGTCCATTGGCAAAAACAGCATTAACCTGCAGTTTCAGGGCAAGCCTGGATTCATAGATGTACTTTGGGGCATTGCGATGGCTGCCATCTTGTTTTCGTTCCCTTTCCTGATAATCTAGAGAATCAGATTTGCTCTTTCATCACTAACATGTGTTCTGATTCGGCATCTTCATGGACCACGTGGACCCCAAGATCTCTTTCCTGTTCAGACTCCGTGGGTGTGTAGGGGGTGTCCCCCCCCCAATCTGCATTGCTTTTACACTTCAATTGGATTTAATTGACCATGATTTTTACCCATAAACCCTTTCAGAACTCTTTACTGTTCACTGAGGTTCTCATCCACCAGGATAATTTGGTGTCCCCGCAAACGTGGCCACCTTGCGGCTCTTCCTCAAGAATTCAAGCTGTTATGGGATTGATATACATATGACCACTTGCCACAGTTACATGCACATACAAATGTATGAAGCTGTTGTATAATCAGACTGTGGGTCGATCCCGATGAGTCTACTTGGACTGGCAGTGGCTCTCCAAGGTCTCAGGTGAAGTTCTTTGCATCCATTACTACCTGGGTCTTGTACCTGGAGAAGCTGGGGGTTGAACCTGGGACCTTCCAAATTCCAAGCTATGTATTCAAATCTAGCAGCGTTCCCTTTTCTCTGTAGTTATCCTTCCCTTTCTGTCACCACCACCCTTAACTCATGGAGCATTCCCCCCCCCCTTGGTGATTTTTGCCGCTACACCCTAATCCTGTTTCTAATGTTCCTCTGCTTAACTGACTTTTCTTCTGTTCTGGACACTGGCTCCTTTGTGGTCCTGTCTCAGTCCTGTACTTTTTCTTTTCTTTTCTTTTTCCTGTATACAAAGCAGGGTGCAGTTATGGGAGAGAAAACACTCAGTAAAGCAAAAAACTAGACACTCAGGCCGGTGATTCCTGAGCAGTGAAGGAGATGCAAGAATCAGTTCCCCTGCAGGGAAATGTCAGATGTAAACTGAAGAGCAACAGGAGAGCCGGTGTGAATGTTTTTGTGAAGTCTGCTGATGCTGCTGGAATATGTTTATAAAATCCTGGGTAGCACCTGGGGTGCGCCGAGGTCCCTCTGACTCCTGTAAGTCCCCCCCACCCTTGCAGAATTTGGTACCTGTTAGCAAACCTTACCTTACCTTACCCTGAACCAGGGAAGTGGTCGGTGATGAATGTGCATTGTTAAAAAGCCTCTGTTGCGTCTCTGTGTTTTTCCTTCATTGTCAGCACAAATCCTTGTTTAATAAAGATTTGGCTTGAAGGAAATTTTAATTAATTACAGGTTCAGTAAATCCTGAGTAGGGATCCGCCGCGCTGTGTGTACAGAGAATGGCCTTCCGTGTGCTTGTACTCCTGTTCTCTCCGCTGGCTGACAATGTGATTTATGGCTGTTGTTTTCTACCACTCCACTGTTTGCCCTCTAGGAGGGATTGGTCTCCTGAGCCCCCCATAATAACAGCAGCACTTTCGCAAAACATCTTTTAATGACAACACTGTAGCCGCCTTCTGTAAGTCAGGCTAATTGCAGACGTACCCTATTAATTGCAAAATCTAGGAGAGGTTACATATTTTACAAGCTTTTAATTTGAAATCGCCTGAGATGATTTGTCTTAAGTGTTTGAGTAGAGATGCCTATATTATTTTTTCAATAGACTTTGCCCGGAAATAGAGACATTTAAAATCTGTATTCAGAAAAACATATGCGTTGCTTGCTCTCCTGGAACGATTGTCTCTTCTTTCACGTAGGGCTGGTTTCGTAAAATTGCAGATGTTGCTGATGGGAGCAAGAAAGCTCCTGTTTTTCAGCCAGTTTTTAAAAAGCACGAGACACTTTCCAACCCGGGTTGTAAGCAACAATCTGTATTAATTACTTAGACAGTGGGATTTTCTCCTCTTAAAAGAAAAATAAATAACACACATGGATCATGGAGAAACACCTCCCAGTTCTTGGAAAATAAAAATATTGAAGAATTCAGTAGTATCAAATGTCTCTTAACACAGAATTTTGTGAAAAATCTACCAAAGAATGTAAGCTATTGTCATGCACTAGAAACTCTTGTGCTCATTTTAGAAGCAAAGCTAAAGTTAAGCTTGCTAGTTGCTACCTCAGGACAGTATGGTGTGGAGGAGGAGGCATAAGTCATTCAGACAAAGGAAGAACCGGGACACTGAGTGGGAGTACCAGAGGGTACATGTGGCATTTGTGCACCAAACTATGCAGGACACTGTGGGAGTTCCGCATTGCGCTTTCTGTTAATTTCTGGTGTCCTGCAACCTACCAGCAGAAGGGTCTGTTGACTGCATATATTCCCTGTGTTCTCCCCCCCCAAACAGTCTTTTCAGACCCTAGGACAATTGATTCCTATGGTTATAGGACTCATGTGGATTAACAGTCCCATGGGGGGTGGGGGCTGAACTGTGGGTGGAGAAAGGCTCCGTGTAGCTTGATTCCCTTCGTGTTCATCTAATCAGACCTCACTTCCAGAAGTCCTTGATCTGAAACGTTGCATCTGTATTTAGATGGTATCAAGAGCAATGTTCCCTCTAAGCTGTGGAGTCTTGTGAGCAAAACTTCTACTTTGTGAGCTACTGGCATTAAAATTGTCAGCGAGCGATTTGGCTACTGCATAAATTAGTCTGCTCTGGAGCCCTCCTTCCTGAGCTAAGACAAAAACGTGTCAGCCAGAGGCTAAAAAACTGTGAGCTGGCTCACACTTGCTCAGCTTAGAGGAAACAGTGATCAAGAGATGTGGATGTTAGTTCTTGGAACAGTGTGGTCCAGTAATGGTAAAATATATTTTGGATGAGGAAGGGTATTAAGGGAATCCATATGTGTCATCTCGGTGTATATTTACCAAGTGAACAAGATTGTCAGAACCCATAGCCAACAACGAAGTACACGTATTCAAGAACGGTAATACTTTTATTGCAGAGCTATAGATGCAGTAACACAGGCACTGTTAAGAATGGCCACAGCCAGTAGAGCATAGTAGGATATAGGGTATTTGTATGCACCCCCCCAGAGCACTGGCCAATTAGGCACCCTCCTGCGCGCGGGATAAAGCTTGGAAACCGTTAGGTAGCTAAAGCTGGGAACCAACACTCTCCCATGGCACCTAGGAAAAACCCAGACGATACAACTCCCTCCTGCACATCTGTATAGATAAGCATTTCGGTGCAAAGCAGAAAAAGCACAGAATGGAATGCAGTAGCAATTAACCAGACACAGCCCAAGCTCCCCAACCCCCATGGCAGCGTAGCTGACAAAGATTAGACTTCGTTATCCAGTGGCTGCCTGAGAAAAATGGTCCCAAGGATTTCCCTTGAGACCATTTTTCTGTATTACCGGATGGGCATAGACCAAATGTCAGGAAAACCTGTCTCTCGGAGTCTTGCAGGCTCTCATCTCTCGTCCGCAGCCCACTTGTTGATAACCGGCCATTGTATCTTTCTCTTTGTAGGTGAAGCTGATTCGAGAGATTGTAGCCTGTAATGGTATTTTGATCACCTCCTATTCGTTTATTCGCTTGCTGCAAGACAGCATCCACGGTTATGACTGGCACTACGTGATTCTAGATGAGGGGCATAAAATCCGGAACCCAAATGCTGCGGTTACAGTTGCTTGCAAACAGGTACAGATAAAGGGAGCATTTTGGAAGCTTTAAACAGAAGCTCCTCGCACAGTCATGAGGTCAGGCCCGTGGGCCTGGAGGGTCATTTGCTGCCCTGACACACTCCCGATTCCCATCCTTGAGAGGGCCCTGTTTGCATGGCACAAGCATGCCAGCTTGATTTGATTTGAAGTCCGCTTCCCTACATTTTATGGTGGGGTATAAGGGGTTTTACTACATGTATTTTGGCCCTTAGGTAAAGGTAAAGGTTCCCTTGCTCGAAAGCCAGTCAAGTCCGACTCTAGGGTTGCGGTGCTCATCTCCGTTTCAAAGTCGAAGAGCCAGCGCTGTCCGAAGACGTTTCCGTGGTCATGTGGCCGGCATGACTAAACACCGAGGCGCACGGAACGCTGTGACCTTCCCACCGAAGTGGTACCTATTTATCTACTTGCAGTTTCTTGCTTTTGAACTGCTAGGTTGGACCTTGCATGTCATTAAAGAGATAATCAAAATTATAAGAAACACGCAGAAGTATTAGGGGTTTGGATGCTGATGCTAAACATTCCGTTTAGGTGTGAAGAAAGCAAATAGCTTAGGGGAGCCATGACACAGGTGCCCTGTGTAATTATTATGGGTTGGATGCTGCAAACCACAAGTGCAGGGTACTCAGTGCAGTGGATCTCCCCTGCATCCCCCCCCCCTTCCTCCAGCAGCCCTCCCTCGTTGTCTCTCAGAAGTCAGTGCTGGGGACCAGACTCCTTTACAGAGCCGTGTAGCACAGAGGGCTGCAGTCAGGAGAGAGAGTCGGGAGAAACCTTTGTTTCTTTCCCAGCCCCCAAGAGAATCCTCTACTGTGACAGCAAAGGAGGTGGTTCCATACCTCCATTTCCCCCTCCTCACTGGTGCCCAAGAGGCAGGCTAGCTTTTTGGTTCACGAGGGTACCCCAGCACCTCCCCCCACCCCCCAAGCAGTGCCTTTTGGGAAGTGTCAGGGCTGCTGGGGAGAGGGGAAGGCAGGGAAAGGCCTTCTTTGCAAGCGCCTTCTGCCTGGGGGACCGCAGGATCCGATCCCTTGAAAGAGGACTGTGATCCAAAGAGCTGGTGGAGGAACATGAGCTCCCCAAAATTTGGGAGCCAGGTTTATTTTTCAGCCTCTAGGGTTTTATATTTTTGTTACCATCAGTACGTCTAATTTTTAGCTGGGGTTCCATCTGTGGATATATAATTCTACAGTTTGGGACCACGTGGACAGAAGAGAGATCTGCAACCATTGCCGGGGGGGGGGGCTTTTAAGAAACCCATGACACTGCTGCAGCCAGGGTGGGGGTGGAGGACTGGAAGCCTCCCCTGCACCTACAGAAGCTGGAGATAGGGAGGTCTGTGAGGACAACCGGGAGCCTCTGCCGCACCACCAGCCATCTCTCGGCCTCAAGCCCACCTGCCTCCAGAGCCGTCGCCTCCCCCAAACTTTTCCCTCGGCTGCTGGCCACCAAGGCAGCAGCACCGGAAGCAAGTCTCCTCACCCACACACCTGCCTTGGCAGCTGAGAGGGGAGTTTGGGGAGGGCGGCTGAGCCAACGGCTCTGGGGCTGGGTGGGTAAGAAGGAGTGGTTAGAGGGCGGAGCCATAGGGAGGGAAGGAGGGCAGAAGGGCAGGTAAAGGTGAGTGGGCAAAGATCAGATGGAGAAAAGAAGGTGCCTGGCAGGGGAGAGGTGGGTGCGGACGAGTGTAGGCAGGGAGAAGGAATGTGGCATTGTTGAGGATGTTTGCCGTGCCCAAAGGGGAGAGGGCCAGCTATGTTTCAGCAAATAACAAACTGAAGCTTGATGTTGGACATCCGTATTTCAGAGATATGTGCACGATGTACAGTTAAAATGCAACAATTCATTGGCAATCATATTTTTCTGTATGTGCATCTGTTCTTTGTTTTTTTACCAAAAAAAACCCCAAACCCATTTGTAGTTCCGCACTCCGCATCGAATCATCTTGTCTGGCTCACCGATGCAAAACAACCTAAAGGAGCTCTGGTCTCTCATTGACTTCGTATTTCCTGGGAAACTTGGAACACTGCCTGTCTTCATGGAGCAATTTTCCGTTCCGATAACCATGGGGGGTTATGCCAATGCCTCTCCAGTCCAGGTAAAGTTAACATAGCACGCTCCACGGTGAGTGTGTGACGTGCAGGTCCCACTGGAAGCTCAGCTGTGGATTGGCAGTGCGCGTTCTGCTACATTATCCTGCATGCGCTGAAACTCATTAGCTGGGGAAAGACAAATAGGCGGAAAGGGATCTAGGAGTCCAAATCAACTGCAAAATAGCTAGAAGAACACATGATATCAATACGGCATTTCGTTGTCTCTTCAGACCGTCACTGAACTGCAAAGTCCGTTTCCAGCAAGGGTGACCATGAGTTTACGGTCTCAGAAGGAACTCTTGTCCTGCAGGCTCACAGGTGACAGAGTTCCTTTGCTGCCCAGGAACATTCACAACTGGAGGTCTGCAGCCTTCAGTTTCTGTTCAGGGTGTTACACGTGGGCCTTCTTTGCATACTGAGCAGTGTTCCTTCTAAGCTCAGTTAGTGTGAGCTAGCTCACAGGTTTTTAGCCTCCGGCTCACACATTTTTGTCTCAGCTCAGGAAGGATGTGGCTCCAGAGCAAACTAATTTACGCAGCGGCCAAATCACTCGCTCACAACTTTTAATGCCAGCAGCTCACAAAGTAGAATTTTTGCTCACAAGACTCCACAGCTTTGAGGGAGCCTTGGTGCTGAGATGATGCATGTTAATGGGCAGGTACTCGAGACACAGTTCTGTTTGGCTTTCTGTTTGTATTTGGGGAAGGTGGTCAGAATCCTATAAATGAAGCTGCTTTCACCGAGTTACAAAACAGATGATAACTGAGAGATACGGATTTATTTAAACGGCGTGTTTACACGTGATGACTTTTTGATATAAGTTGTGTTTTCTTGCAAATTCGATTTTAAGTAGCAGATAAAAAGGCAGGTGCCTCCCAAACTGTCAGCATGTGCACCTGTTCATATATTAGCTTCGCAGAGTCTTCTGTTGCTGTCAAATCGCACAACGTTTGGTGGTGGCAATCGCCGCTAGCTTAGGGCTCCCCTGCAGGGTTTTCAAGGGAAGGGGTGACCAGAGGTGGCTTGTCATTGCCTCCCTGGGCGGTCTCCCATCCCAAGCACTGACCAGGGCCGACCCTGCTTCGCTTCCCAGATCTGATGAGACTGGGCTAGCCTGAGCCATCCAGGTCAAGGTAAGAGACGAACAGAGGTGGGTCTGCCATGGCCTGCCTCTGCGCAGCGACCCTGGACTTCCTTGCTGGTCCCCCATCCAAGGACTGACCAGAGCTGGCCCTGCTTCACTTGCCAGATCTGACCAGTTCAGGGTAGCCTGGGCCATCCAGGTCGGCATCATTTTTGGGTACATTAAAATAAGTCGGTGGAGTTCAGTGGCTGGAGTGTCACTTTGCTTAGCCATCAAGTTCACTTAAGAGACCTGAAGCCAGATAAGAACTTAAGAGACTCCAATGTTGGATCAGGCCAAAGGCCTATCCAGTCCAACACTCTGTGTCACACAGTGGCCAGAAATACCAGGTGCCACCAGGAGGTCCACCAGTGGCTATTAGCCCCAAGGTATAGATAGGGGCTCTGGGGCACGTGATGCTCTGTCTTCTTGGTGCTTGGGGAGGGGGTCAACAGTGGGAGGGCTGCTAATGTCCTGGCCCCACTGGTGGACCTCTGCTCCATATAAGAACATAACATAAGAGAAACCAATGTTGGATCAGGCCAAAGGCCTATCCAGTCCAACACTCTGTGTCACACAGTGGCCAGAAATACCAGGTGCCACCAGGAGGTCCACCAGTGGCTATTAGCCCCAAGGTATAGATAGGGGCTCTGGGGCACGTGATGCTCTGTCTTCTTGGTGCTTGGGGAGGGGGTCAACAGTGGGAGGGCTGCTAATGTCCTGGCCCCACTGGTGGACCTCTGCTCCATATGCCTATCTAATTCCCTTTTGAAGCCGAGCATGCTTGTAGCCGCTACCCCTTCCTGTGGCAGTGAATTCCATGTGTTATTCTGTCACCCTGGTCTACCTCACAGGATTGTGGTGAGAATAGAATTGGGGGGGGGGTAACCTTCCTACACGCAGCCATAAGGGCTTCAGAGGAAACGTGGGTAAAAATTGCCTTCTTCTTCCAAAGGTGAAAACTGCCTACAGATGTGCTTGTGTTTTGCGGGATACCATTAATCCTTACCTGCTGCGAAGGATGAAGTCAGATGTCCAAATGAGCCTCTCGCTACCAGATAAGAATGAACAGGTGATGACGGTCCTGTTGTGTGATTTACTTTTCTCAATCCTTTTTTCTCAGAGCAGCTTGGCTTTGTTATGAAGGAATACAGCGAGGGATAATTCGCCTTTGCATAACACCCCAGAAATACAAAGGCACAGTCCATTTGCACCTACTTTCTCCTAACAGATTGAAGGTGCGTGAGAAGAAGAAAAATTCCACTGGATTATAAATTAGAATAATAATGATAATAATAAAATTTCGGTCATCCATGCGTATGGAGGGGAGGTGGGAGGAAGCAGATGGAAATGCTAGCAGGCTGCATTTGTGCCTGTTGTGGTTAAAGAGAGGTTTGTTATGACTTGTGAACTTGGCCTTTTCTGCCTCCAGCCACTGGTGACCATCTTTACCACTGGCATAGGTTGGGGGCGGCATGCATTCCGTGATAGCTGTGGCCCATAGGGTGAGCCTGGGGTCTGGGGAATTCTTCACGGGGATTCTAACCTGTGTGATGAAAACAGGAGCGTTGCCAGTTGTTGGGCTGTTAACTCCTTGGGAAGGGGGCACGTCTTTGTGATTGTGGTATAAAATGTAATGACTTTCTGCATTGTCTCTGCAGGTTCTGTTTTGCCGCTTGACAGATGAGCAATACCAAGTTTACAAGAACTTTATCGATTCCAAAGAAGTTTATCAGATGCTCAATGGAGACATGCAGGTTAGTGCAGCTGAAACTGGACGATAACCAGGGTTGCCAGTTGCCTGGAGGAAGACAGGGTCCCATCCCTCAAGGGTCCCATCACCTGTTGGCCAGGTGATGTCATTTGTCTCCATATGGCTAAAAGCTTCAGCTGCTCGTTTCCAGCTTCTGTTCAAGGGACAGAACGTTTTCCTCCAGTCCTGTCAGCAGCAGGTATTTTGGTTTTGCTTGGTGGGGCAGGATGCAGAGTGAAGGAGATGCCGTTCCTAGCCCATGGGTCTCCTCTGTAGGTGCCTTTTGTCCAAGAGAAGGTTTGAACAAAACGTCACCCTTCTTTCCGATTGGGAATCCTGTTGACGCTGACAGACGTTTCCATTGAAAAGAGGACTTGGGAAGGGGGTTGTAACACATTCTGAAGGGAAGAGACGACGGTGCAGAAATCTGTGACGGGGGGGGGGATTTAATCGTTTCAATGATTGAGATACGTACACCCTTTTTCGGTACTCAACACTTGCATGGCCCTTTTCAGTAGGGGAGGCTCGACACCCATCCCTTGCTGGTGTCAGACCTTCAGCAGGCACATGGAGCCCTTGCGTAAGCCACGTTTTCTCTGTCGACTTTCAATATCCAGGGAAGTTTTCAGGGCAGGTGGTGGCCTCCGATGCTGAATTTGAAGGGGACGCCCCACGTGCACATTAGAGCAGTCAGGGACCGCAGACTGGCGTGAATGAGGTGTCCGGCACAACAATTTATGATCCATTATCATGATTCCATTATCAAATGCTACTTAAGTGTATAAAACCACTTTCAGACTCCCATGTTCAGAAGCTATATAAAAGGGGGGTTTTTTTGGAGCTTTTTAATTAGGATTTAATAAATATAAAATTAGCTGGGGGGGTGTTCTGCTTTTCCCATTCATTTAGGTGAAGCTTGTGCGAAGTGTCCTAGAGAATTGTCTGTCATTCCTCTGGTACAGAGTTTCTGTGAGCCCCATTTGCTTGTGTTAACTATATATTTTTTTATCTTTTACCCCAAAGAACTAGAGGCAATGTAATCCCTCCCCCATTTTCCTTACAACAATCTTGTGAGGTGGGTTAGGCTCAGAGGTAGTGACTGAACTAAGGTTATCTGGTGGGCTTTCTTGCTGAGGGGGATTTGAACCTGGGTCTCCCAGGTGCCCTGACCTGAATGGCCAGTCTAGCCTGACCTTGCCAGATCTTGGAAGCTAAACAGGGTCAACCCTGCTTAGTCCTTGGATGAGAGACTGCCAAGAAAGCCCAGGGTCGCTCTGCAGAGGCACAAACAGCCTCTGTTCCTCCCTCGCCTTGAAAACCCTCCCGGTTGACTTGAAGGCACTTTCCACCACCTCCCAGTTTGGTGTAGTGGTTAGGTGCGCGGACTCTAATCTGGGAGAACCAGGTTTGATTCCCCACTCCTCCACTTGCAGCTGCTGGATGACCTTGGGCAAGCCATAGCTCTGACAAGAGCTGTCCTTGAAAAAGAGCCGTTTGTGTCAGAGTTCTCTCAGCCCCGCCTACCTCACAGGGTGTCTGTTGTGGGGAGGGGAAGGGAGAGGAGTTTTGTAAGCCGCTCTGAGACTCCAAGTGAAGGGCGGGGTATAAATTTATTTATTTATTTTATTATTTACATTTCTATCCCGCCCTCCCCGGAGGCTCAGGGCGGCTTACAGGCATGTCGCCGAATAAAACAATAGAACAATACAAAATATTAAAAATACATCACAAGTAACAATGCGTTAAATCCACTCTCTTCTTCTTCTCTCCCAGATCTAAGGTTAACTTAATAAGCAGTTCACCACTAGACCTTGACTATTCTGTCAACACTGTGACACTTGGGTTAGCACTGGGAAAAAAAGCCCTGCTGTTGAAAATTTACAGAAATATATAGCTGTTTGTTTTCATTCTGTCCTGTCCTGGTGGTGCCTTAAAATGGATAGGGTGGGAATGTTTTGTGAATGAAAACTTTAGGCTGTGTGTTCTTTGTAGATTTTCTCCGGACTGATCACCTTGAGAAAGATCTGCAACCACCCAGACCTCTCCTCCGGGGGGCCGAAGATTTTGAAGGGTGTTCCCGATGAAGAGTTGGACGAAGAGGACCATTTTGGTTACTGGAAGCGTTCCGGGAAAATGATAGTCATTGAGTCTCTGCTGAAAATCTGGCGCAAGCAGGGCCACAGAGTGCTGCTCTTCACGCAGTCGCGGCAGGTGGGTGGCCCTGACACGGGCTGGGTCACTGCGTGGGCAGAGGCCAGCAGCACAACTTGTGTGCTGCAGTTAGGAAGTCGTATGTGGAATCCTCCAAGGAACATGATGCTTTAACGCTGCGCAAATGGAACCGTAGCTCTTCCTTGCTGGTTAGTTCTGATCAGCAGAGGAGAATGATCTAAGCTGCTCTGGGACCCTGCCGGGGAGAAGGGCAGGGAATAAATAAAGCAAAGAAAGAAATAAAAGCCAGAGAGTGCATGAAATGCGTTCAGCAATTTTACACTGGGAAGAGCACTCCCTTGCTTAGGTCCAGTTTGCCAATACTGTCTTTGCTTTTTCATACACACACACACACACACTAGGAATAAGGCCTGTTGTGGAAATAAATACAACAAGCTCTAGAAAGAGGCTATGGGCAGGTACCCTGGCATTGGGCACTCAGAGTCAGATTGCTGTGGCGACCTCAGCAGGGTATAATGACACAGAACTTACCGTTTTCTCCAGGTGAACTGAACTCTGCCATCTGAAGAGGAGTTATAATTCTGAGTCATCTCCAACCCTCCCCTGGAGATTGGCAACAGTGGTTCCCCAGGAGGAAATGGCTGGTTTGGAGGGTAGAGTCTATGGCATTGTACCTGTCTGAGCACCCACCCCTCCTCAAACCCCACCCTCTCCAGACTCCACCCCTCAAATCTCCCGGAGTTTCCCAACTTAGAGTTGGCAACCCTATCTCCTTCCCAGCCAACCATCAACCTACCTTTATCTGCCCTTCTGACTTCAGGTTTCCATCTCTTTCCCCCTCCCTGTAGCCTCTACCTAGGAAAAGTACAGTCTTTCTCCACAGTGGAGATCCAAGCAGGAGGGAAGCGACCTCAGCAAGGTATAAAATGACACAGAGTCCACCATTTTCTTTGGGGGAACTGATCTCCGCCATCTGGAGAGCAGTTGTAAGTCTGAGTCATCTCCAGCCCTCACCTGGAGATTGGCAGCAATGGTTCCTCAGGAGGAAAAGTACAGTCTTTCTCTGCAGTGAAGACCAAAACAGCTTAACATCATTCTCCTCTCCCCCTTTTGATCTGCACAACAACCCTGTGAGGTAGGTTAGGCTGAAAGTCTGACTAGTCCAAAATCTCCCACTCAACTTCCACAGCAAGAACCTGGGTCTGGCAGACCCTGCTATGAAGTGCTAACTGCTACACCTAGGGTAGCCAACCTCCTGGTGGAGCCTGAAGATCACCAGTTATCACAACTGAACTCCAGACAACAGGTCCTCCCCCCCGGACAAAATAACTGCTTTGGAGGGTGGGCTCTATGGCATTCTATTCTTCTGAGGCCTCTCCCCTCCCCAAACTCTGGCTTCTGTAGACTCCACCACAAAATAAACTCCTGCCTTTGCTTTTTTACTGACAAAACCAAGCTTGGTTGCCTAGCAACAGCCACTGAGGGAAAAGTTAGTCCCGCAGGAGAAGTGTCTTCATCAGGAGACACAGCCATTTTGGCAGTTTATTCTCTGAGGGAAGAGTGTCCAGGCTGGCAGTGGGCAGGGGAGAGAAGTGGACCCAGCACCCAAGCACCCAACCAGTGGCACGCGAGTACTCTTGAGTGGCAGTTGATGGACGAATAGCTGATGGAGCGCACAGCCAATGGGAGATCTGGAAATGGCCAATGCGTTAGGGCAGTTATATGTATAGGAGATAGATATACATAAACACGCACACATATCTACACATACAGACGTGAATTTGAGTTTGTTGCTCTTTATTGCCAAGCAGCAAGGAATCGTGGGGAGGATCTCTTCCGAAACGGCCAAAGAGTTCTTCAGTTGAGGCCATAATTTGCTGTTATTTGTTGTAAATTGCTTATTTTATTGTAATTTATTGTTTTTAAATCATATGATATTGTTTTAACCTGGCACTTGTGCCCTGTAAGCCGCCCTGAGCCTTCGGGGTAGGGCGGGGTATAAATTTAAATATAAATAAAAATAAATAAAATTTCACAAATTACGTTTGCACAGCATGGGGGGGGAGCACCCTTGCAGCCCCATAGCTGGGAATCGGGGGGGGGGATGATCAAATTAAAGTAAAAGTAATTAAAATTAATTATAAAGTAAAGTAAAACTAAAAGTTATCCGGAAGGAGGGTTCCTGCGGACGGCTTCTCCAAGGCAGCACGAAGCGAGGCGAGTTTGGCAATGGGTCGCCCCCCCTCACCAGCACAGGGCCCTGCTTGCCTGAGCCACCCCTTCCGGTTTGGCTTTCCTGCTTGCACGGCCCACCTTCTGGCGCAGCCCCAGTTCCCGCACCCCCTGCCCGCTCAGGCCCTTTGAGCAGCCGTGGCTCAGCCGTGACTGGACAGATTGCCATACCTGGCCCGCTGGCTGGCCGTTAAAGCCCCTTGAGAGAAGCCTTAAGCCAACAGGCTGCTTCTGCCCAGGCCCCCCATGCTGACGTGGGAGTCAGGCCATTACAAGTCTGTGCACGCTATTTGCCCAGGAGTAAGACCATTGCCCTCTGCGAGGCATTCAGCGGTTTTCCCGGCTAGCTCCAGCGTGAACATGGGTGGGGTGGAAGTGGAGTGGAGCCCGGGTGGTGGTGATAGTGACAAGGTGGCTGCACACAGGCTGGGGGGGGGGATTGTCATGGGGCAGTGTTCCCCCCTAAGCTGAGTTAGTGTGAGCTAGCTCACCGTTTTTTAGCCTCCGGCTCACACATTGTTGTCTTGGCTCAGGAAGGATGACTCCAGAGCAAACTAATTCATGCAGGAGCCAGATCGCTCGCTCACAACTTTAATGCCAGCAGCTCACAAAGTGGAATTTTTGCTCCCAAGACTCCACAGCCTAGAGGGAGCGTTGCATGGGGGTACTGGAAATTCGAGAGGGGGGCACCGCCCTGTGTGCCCCACCACTGGTTTCAGCCCTGCACCCTTGTATGCAGAACTGCATCTGCTGAGAGTAGCGTGTAAAAGAGCTCTTGACACCTGTGCCAGGAAGGCCGTGGTTGAATTCCGGCATCCCACCAAATGCTTTCCCCCTCGCTGTTGCAGATGCTGCACATCTTGGAAGCGTTTCTGAAGCAGAAGAGCTATTCCTACTTGAAAATGGACGGCACCACAGCAGTCGGGTCGAGGCAGCCGCTTGTGGCAAGGTACAACGAGGTGAGGAACTCCTGGCGGCGGCGGCCGCCGCCTGCTTGCCATTTGCAGCATGTGGATTTAAGCGTTTGAGCTAGGCAAGATGTGCGGTGGGGAGTCTTCTCTGACGGCATCCAGAAGCCACCCGACAGTCCGGCACGGGCACAACACACTCGGTGAGGGTATGTCTGCCGTATAAACCATCTGGCTGGAGCAACAGTGTGGGCAACAGCCCAGATAACACCTGGCCATCGATCGCAGAGCTGCTTGGACCTGCACTGGATTGTGCACACGTCCACTCTGATGTCATCCCTGCAGTGGGTGCCCAGAGGGATGGTGTCTCCTCGAACCCTAGGCCAGCTTCTGTGAGGTGGTTCTCTCTGTGCTGAAACATTAGGGCAGGGGAGGAAGGTGAAGCTCAAATAAGCGTGATGGATTTTATCTCCCTTATATATAATTGAGTAAGACGCAGCGTAAGACTGAGCGGAGACAAAATGCGCTCCGTCAGCCATTGGCCGGCCAGCGGGAGGCGAACGCTGTGTGCGAACGGCGTGGCGGCGATGCGCCCCTCGCCGCAGCCCGATTTCCCTCCCCCCACCCACCCAGTTGTAGCCAGCCTCCCCCCCTTCTTCTCTCTCTTCCCCCCACTTTCTTTCTTCCTTCCTTTCTCTCTCTCTTTCTCCTTCTTTCCTCTCTCTCTTTCTCTTTCCCCCCTTCCTTCCTTCCTTCCTTCTTCCGCCCACCCACCCTACCTTTCTAGGCGCCCGTTGTCTCCACTACGGGCTTTGCTCCCTAGTTTCTAGTACCTCTCTATTACATTTTTTAATCCTGCCCTTCCCTCCAAGGAACTCAGGGTGACCGAGGTGTTTCTCCCCTCTCACAGCAGTCCTGAGAGGTAGGCTGGGCAGAGAGCAGCTGGCCGAAAGTCACCCAGTGAGTTTTGTGGCCAGGTGAGGTTTTGCAGTCCGGTCTCCCTGTTTGGAATCGGCTGCATCAAACACACCGCCTGCCACACAATACAGATTTCTGGTTGCAGTCAAACACATAAAATACAAATGCCTGATACATTTTGATGGCCTTCCTCAGAAGAATTATTGAGATCAGAAATGTGTCTGGGGTTTTGTATTATTTGTTTCTGGGACTGGGAATTTTTATTGTGTTTATGCCCTTTTTTTGTTGTCTGCACGCCAGAAGTTTGGCGTGTCCTCCTTGTCCCTTGCTGGACATCACAGATGTCCACCATCATACAATAGCCGCCATCACCAATTTGACCCTTGACCGTTTGTTGAACGAAGTTCCAGGATCGAGTAAATTCCAGGAGCACCTTAGGGACAGCAAGACTTTCGGAGGATGAGCTTTTGAGAGTCAGATTCCCCAAACCACAACCAATGCTCCCTCTAAGCTGTGGAGTCTTGTGAGCAAAAATTCTACTTCGTGAGCCACTGGCATTAAATTTGTGAGCAAGCGATTTGGCTACTGCATAAATTAGTTTGCTCTGGAGCCCCCTCCTTCCTGAGCCAAGACAAAAATGTGTGAGCCGGAGGCTAAAAAACCGAGCTAGCTCACACTAACTCAGCTTAGAGGGAACCCTGACCACAACTACTCTTCCAAACAGTTGTCTAAGGGAGCTGTGGAGATAAAAAATGGGGGAGATGGATGTAAATTCCTTTGGGTTCTCGTTGTGGAGAAAGGTAGGGAGGGGGTTAAACGTAGTTAAAAAATAAATATTCTAGTGAGCTTGGTGGAGATGAAGTAGCAAAGCCGTGAAGTGCTTTTTCTCTACAGTCTTCCAGGAAGTTACTTCTTTGCGCTTAGCTACTGTTCCTGGATTTAGTTTATCTCGCTCCATGTGCCCTGACCTGAATTTGGCAGATCTTGGAAGCTAAGCAGGGTCAGCCCTGGTTCATACTTGGATGGGAGACCACCCGGGAAGTCCAGGGTCTCTGTGCAGAGGCAGGCCACGGCACACCCACCTCTGAACGTCTCTTGCCTTGGAAACCCCAGGGGGGGGACTTCAGGGGGGTCTCCATCAAAGCTCCCTCTAAGCTGTGGAGTGTTGTGAGCAAAAATTCTACTTTGTGAGCTACTGCCATTAAAGTTGTGAGCGAGCCATTTGGCTACTGCATGAATTAGTTGGCTCTGGAGCCCTCCTTCCTGAGCGGAGACAAAAATGTGTGAGCAGGAAGATAACAAACTCTGAGCTAGTTCACACTAACTCAGCTTAGAGGGGAACACTGGTCTCCATGAGCCAGTTGTGACTCGACAGCACCCTTTACACTATTCTTAGACTAGTTGATTGCAGCATTAATTTTCCTCATACTCCCATCTGATGTCAGTGGAGCTGGATCTCAAGTATAAGCATTCTTAGCCTTCGGCGGCTTGAATCCCCATTTAATTCGTTCTCAGGCCCCCTCTCAGTTCTTCCAAATCCATGTTTTCCAGGAAGACTTTTAGCCTGGCCTCTTAGCCTCCCTTCCCATCTCATATCAGGCCTAAGCTTCTTTTCTTTCCCTTTTTCTCTCTGCCCCCGCCCCCGGGAGAAAACCCTGACGATTGTTAGAGGGGAAGCACTTCGGGGCCGGGGGCTGCTGTCCGGGACGCTGGGCCAGCCACATGGATAGCAGTAATAAGTCAGTGGCACCTGCCTGGACTGCTTGGAAGCTTTCCTGAGTAGAGTTGCCAACCTCCAGGTGGGGGGCTGAAGGTCTCCTGAAATTGCAACCCATCTCCATGTGACAGAGGCCAATTCCCTGGGAGGAAATGGCTGGTTTCTGCCTTGCGGAGGTCCCTCCCCGGGCTGCCCCTGGACAGTCTCTGGGGAGTGGGCAGCCCTCTTCTGACTGTTCCTTGTGCCGCGTCTCTTGCAGGATGCTTCCATATTTGTATTCCTCCTTACGACCCGGGTCGGCGGGCTTGGCATAAACCTGACAGGGGCAGACAGAGTGATCATCTATGACCCAGACTGGAATCCCAGCACAGATACCCAGGTAGGTCCCCTGGCAAAGAAGTGCGAATCCAGGGTGGGCCTAGGGAAGGAATGCCACCCAGCCTCCGCTCCCGATCGGGGTCTCTGGGGCGTATCCTGTGGATACATAGCCAGCTTTTTCCTCAAAGAATAGGGAGGGGAAAGAAAGGCATTCTGAGGCTTGCGAAGTTCACCAGGACACTCCTGTGTAAAAAAAAGAGTTTAAAGTAGTGTAACGTCAAGGCCGTTGTCTCCACCTCCCATGAGTGGTGTCCGAAGATGCCACGTACCAAAATGTGTCTTTGTTCCAGGCTCGAGAGCGTGCGTGGCGAATTGGGCAGACGAAAGAGGTGACGGTTTACAGGCTTCTTACTGCAGGGACCATTGAAGAAAAGATTTACCACAGGTCAGTGGGAGGGAGGCCGTGCACAGATATGTACCAGCAGCCACGCTAAGGAACAGCATTTATTTCTTCCTAAAGTGCTGTGGCTGTGTCCCTCCTTTCTTTTGTAGAACTTGAGGCCGTGTACTCCTGGGCAGCCCCTCATCCAGGGCAGTACCCTTGCTAGCTCGGCCAGAGAACTGTGAACTCTGGGACCAAGATACTGCTCAGGCGTAGAACAGAAATGAAATGACTTTCAGAGTCGACAGGATCCTCTTTGTTCTGTTTAACACACACACACACACAAATGTTGTTATCTCTGTGTGTGTAGAAGCTGGAGTGACTCTCCTGTTCGGGGGGATGTTCACAGTAGAAGTGCTGTCAAGTCATAGCTGACTTATGGCGACTCTGTACGGTTTTCAGGGCAGGAGACGAACAGGCAGGTTTGCCGTTGCCTGCCTCTGCTTAGCGACCCTGGGCTTCCTGGCTGGTCTCCCGTTTCAGTAGTGATCCGGGCTGATCCTGCTCAGCTTCCAAGATCTGACGAGACAGTCAAGCATGGGCCCTCCAGGGCAGGGCGGCTACGCATCGGTGGGAAATGCCATCAGTCACGGCGGACTCGTGGCGACCCTGTAGGGTTTTCAGGGCCAGAGACATACAGAAGTGTTTTGTTGTTTTGGTGTAGTGAGAGTCAGTTTGGTGTAGTGGTTAGGAACGTGGACTCCAATCTGGGAGAACCGAGTTCAATTCCCCACTCGGGGTGTGCAAAAAAATAAAAATAAATTCGGCCCAATTCGGATTCGGCCAAATCAGGCAGAATTAATTTCGGAGGGCATAAAGACTCCCGCATGTCAATTTCGGCAGTAGCCAGTCGAATGTCAGATACCAACCAAGTTTCAAGAACATTGGACTGGGGGGGGGTGCAATTCTACGGGCCCTCAAACAGGTTGTTGCCCCTATCCCCTCCATTGTTCTCTATGGTGGGAAAAAAGTTACTTGGTTGGTATCTTGGGGAGAGGCTCCAGCAGCTACCCTGCGGATTTGGAGCCTCTCCCTCAAACCCCCTCCCCTCCAGCCCCCAGAATATACCCTATGTTTTCGCCATTGACTTCAATGGCCCATAGGATATAATGGGGCCGAATTGCCGCGTACATTCGGCGGCGATTCGGCAGCAAGCCGATTCTGACCAGAGAATCTGAATCGGCCTGCAGAAGCCTGAAAGGGATCCGAATGGGCCATATTCGGGGGTGCATTCGGTTTGGACGAACCGAAGGCACATCCCTATTCCCCACTCTTCCACATGCAGCTGCTGGTGTGAAGGACGGGGTATAAATCCAATCTCCTCCTCCTGCCTCTGCATAGCAACCCTGGACTTTCTTGGTGGTCTCCTGTCTAAGTATTGACCAAGGCCGACTCTGCTTAACAATTGGGCTAGTCTGGTCCCTCCAGGTTGGGGGGGACGTGACATGGTGCCACTTATCCCTTGTGCTTGTGCAGGTTTTTTGTTTGAAAGGTCAGAATGGCAGATCCGAATGCTGCCTGCCACAGTCGGACACCTGTTTGCCATCCTGTGGTTTTGCCGGAACACACAGTCGATGCAGCGTGAAGGGCTTGGCTAAGACTGTAAAATAAATTTGAAAACACACTCACGGTCACTGTATTCCAACGTGGACATACCTGAAGGACCGCCTCTTCCTATATATGCCCCGAAGAGCATTATGCTCTATGGATAAACATCTTCTGGTTGTCTCTGTCCAAAAGGATGTCCGTCTTGCCTCGACCAGGGCCAGGGCTTTTTCTTCCCTGGCCCCTGCCTGGTGGAAAATGCTCCCAGTCGAGATTAGGGCCCTGTGGGATCTTCTTCAGTTCCGCAGGGCCTGTAAGACGGAGCTGTTCCGCCAGGCCTTTGGCTGAGGCAGTGGACGTCTCTATATGTCCTCCCTGAGGTGGTTGTCACCTATCCACCTATCCATCTAGTAACCCAAATAATATGCTAAAGAACCGTATAACCAGTGACTGTCAGAAGTATGATTGAGTTTTAATGTTTATTATTGTTTAAATTTTCTAACTTGTTTAATTTTAATCATATTTATTGTACTGTTTTTATGATGTTACCTGCCCTGAGCCCGCTTGCAAATGGGCGGGCTATAAATACAAATAATAAATAAATAAATAAATACATTGAAGCTTATTTGTGAAGCTTAATCCCAACAAGATGGAAGACCTACTGGACTGTGGAAGGTCTGACCCATGATTTAAAGTGTCACCAGTTAAAAGACAGGCGGAAGCCCAAAATGGGGCAAGGAGGCCCCCCCCCCCCCCGCTGCTTGAGAGGAAAAATTAAATCCCTTGTAAATCTCAAAACATTTGGATTGCCGATCCAGTCACCGCCTCTGGTCTTGAAAACTGCATGAAGGAGGGCCTTAAGTCAGCTGCAACTTGACTGCACTTTGCACCACCCACAGTCTTTTCCTCTGGAATCAGCTAGTTCTCGGTCTTTCCTAGGACATAATGGTCCTGGAACCAAGTGCCAGCACACGAAAGCTCGTCCCTTGAGTGAACCTGGGTGGGTCTCAAAGGTGCCTGGGTTTAAGCTGCCAGCCGGGCAAGTGACAGCGCTGGATGAAGCCACGGAAAAGTGGTTTTTATGTAACAGACATGAGTTGATGATCTCGCCCCACTGATAGCCCAGAGACTCCCTGAGCTGGCGGGATCTCCTGACTTGTTTGTCCTCTTGTCATTCGGGGTTTACTCAGCTCTTTCACGCTGCAGCTGTGCCAGAAAAGCGTCCGTTTGCTTGTTTGGAAAAGCCGATCCTACTTGTGGGGCGGGAGAGAAGTGACGTGTTGCTCAGGGATGGGCCAGTGCTCACCTGAGCCAGGTACTCTCACTCTTTCAGAGGCTTTGTGTTTTTGTCTTTCTTGGGGGCTCCGAATCGACTTTCATCACGGCTCTTTGGTTTGGATGCCGTTAACACAACTGCCTGCTTGCCATCTCTCCTTTATGGGAATGTCTTTTCTTGTTGTAAAACAGAATGCACAGTTTTGAGTTGTCACAAATTATATTCTACTAGGGACAAGCAGCACCTCCCAGGATATTTCCTTGGTGCGATCTGGGATTGTTAACGGCAGTTAGACTCATATGGTTAGCAGTCGGTGAATTGCTTAAAAGTTATTGAAATAAATCAGCACATCGATGTGAAACGGGGTTCTCATCACTCAGTGTGAATTGTTCCCCGGAGTCAAATTCACATCACTAAGTTTTTCTCCTAGAGTTTAGTATTTAGCGCTTTCAGCAAAGAGTGACACGTGTCTTAACACACCAATGCTGTGTGTCTTCCAGGCAAATCTTCAAGCAGTTCCTCACAAACAGAGTGTTGAAAGACCCAAAGCAAAGGCGCTTTTTCAAACCCAATGATCTCTATGAACTCTTCACCTTGACCAGCCCAGATGGGACTCAGGGGACAGAAACCAGTGCTATTTTTGCAGGTATGTCAAAGCCGAGGGCCTCTGGTGCTGGGACAGCCAAGCGGGTGGCAGGAACTGCTGATGACCTCCTTGTAATGCATTTCAGGCACTGGTTCTGACATCCCCACACCCAAGAGAGCACCGAAGCGCAAATCTGTGGCCCTCACCGGGGCTTCTAAAACACACTCTCCTCCTTCCGAGCACATGTCAACCAAACTCAGCAAACTGTCCGATTCCTTCTCAGCAAGGCAGTGTGCCAGGTCCCCTACCACTACAGTGGATTCCGTTCAGAATACCGAGGAAACTGCAGAAGCATTCCTGCGGACTTCTAACTTCCCAAAGGAGGATGCCCACATCACGACTGGTAATATGGATGATTCACTCCCCAGAGAGGAAGAGAAGGGTCTGAAAACCCCTGAGAACAGGGAATCTGAGGATGCGGGACATTTGAACTCCTTTTCTGTTGGAGAATCAAGTGCCGGTGGAGCGAGGCAGCAGAATTCTGCACATGGAAATACCAGCCAGTGTAAGGAGCAAGATGGAGGCTTTGGGAGTGAGCGATCAGACAACAGTCCCAACAAGTGCACTTCGAAATCCAAACACGGCCGTCGAGAGCATGAAGGCGGCAGGGGCCCGTTGAAGAGGGCCAGGAGCTCTCGCGACGCCAGGTTCGAGGGCGAGCGGATTCCTCATCTCGTGAAGAAAAGGAAGTACCAGAGGGAAGACAAGAAGGAAGAGAGAGATTCCAAGAAAAGCGATGATTACGTTCTGGAGAAGCTGTTCAAAAAATCAGGTAACCCTCAGGTAGCCACGGCACAAGGTAAGCCACGGCCGCTACTTTGTGGCTGTGCCCGCCCTGCCGTGTCAGAATTCCAGAGGTCCCCACGGGCTTAGAGTGGTTGGGGGCCTCGGTGTAGGTGCTTGGAGTGAAACACGTTCCCCTCCTTCTCCCAGGCATCCATAGTGTCATGAAGCACGATGCCATCGTGGAGGCCTCCAGTCCAGACTACGTGCTGGTGGAAGCGGAAGCCAATCGCGTTGCCCAGGATGCTCTTCGAGCTTTGAAACTCTCCCGGCAGCGGTCCCGAGGAGCCGCGTCTGGCGTGCCCACTTGGACTGGCCCCAGTGGCCCATCAGGCTCACCAGGAAGAGTCAAGTAAGGCTCGCGGTGTCTCTTTAAGTATCCACAGGTTTGTTAGCTGTGATATGTCCATCTGCAAAGCAGAGCTTAGGATATTGCACCTCTTCAGAAAGGTGAACCTCATAATAAATACACACTCCATGAAGAAGAAGAAGAGGAGATTGGATTTATCCCCCGCCCTCCACTACCCAAAGGCGTCTCAGAGCGGCTTACAAACTCCTTTCCCCTCCCCACAACAGACACCCTGTAAGGGAGGTGGAGCTGAGAGCGCTCTTGACAGAAACTGCTCTTTTTCAAGGACAGCTCTTGTCAGAACTAGGGCTTGCCCAAGGTCACCCAGGCAGGTGCAAGTGGAGGAGTGGGGAATCAAACCCGGCTCTCCCAGATTAGAGTCCGCGCACTTAACCACGACACCAAACTGGCTCTCCATGTGTTGACGTTTTTGCCTGTGGGTCCCCCTCCTTGGCTTTACGATCTCCCACGGAGCCCCCTTAAACTAAGCCAGGGTTTGAATGGAGGACCTCCCAGATGTGCTGCAGCTGTCGTCCAGCGGCAGGAGGGGAACGTGAGCCGAAGCTCTGGTGTCCTTGGCTGTGTGATTCTTTCTGCTTGTGTAATCGTTTCTAGAACTCGGGCTAAAGGACGCTGCGCACCTCCCTGGGGGAGGGGTTTGCTGTTCCCATTTTATAAGTGTTAAGCCAAGGCTGATGAACAGCGGCTTGCTTAATGCCAAGGGAGTCCGAGGTCCAAGTCTAAAGTATTTGGGCACGTCTCTCTTTTATTTTTTGTTTTGGTACTTTTTTGTATTTTTATATGTGCATGCGTGTGCGCGCGCATGCGTGTGCACCTGGAAGTCACGGTGACCTCTTGTGACTGACCCCTACTGGGGGCCTGGAGGATATTCAGAGAGGTGGCTGAATCAAGCCTGCCCCCGCCTCCTGACTGCTGGTATTCCCAGGAGGTCTCCCATCCAAGGACTTGCCTGGGCTGTCCAGGTCAGGGCTGTATTTGGGCACTCCTGTGCTTCTGGTGTACCAGGGTGCCAGACGAGGCTCTAGAAGGACCAGGTTTGAGTCCTTGTATTGCCATGGCAGTTTGCAGGGGGACCTTGTGCCAGTCACACAACACTCAGCCTCAGTCACCTGGCTCACAGTGTGCTTGTTGAGAAGAGAGCGATGTTAAATCACTTTGGGTCCCCACTGGGGGAGGAAGGCGGGGGATATAAGTGGAGGAAGCCAGGAGGAGGACGTAGAATCATAGAGTCAGAAGGGGCCTCCGGGGTCATCTAGTCCACCCCCCTGCACAAGGCAGGAAATTCACAAATACTTCCCCCCCCCCAAAAAAAAAAAAATACCCTGAGTGACCCATGTTCCATGCCCAGAAGGTGACAGGCCAGATTCCTCAGTAGGTACCACTGATCACCAATGCTTCCTCTAAGATGTGGAGTCTTGCGAGCAAAAAATCTCCCTTGTGAGCTACTGGCATTACAAGTTGTGAGTGAGCAATTTGGCTACGGCACAAGTCAGTTTGCTCTGGAACCCCATCCTTCCTGAACGAAGACAAAAATGTGTGGAGCCAGAGGCTAAAAAAACCGTGCGCTGGCTCACACTGACTCAGCTTAGAGGGAACACTGCTGATAGCCCCTTCAGCCTTTGGGGGTGTTTCCGGGGAAGCTGTTGGAAGCCTGACGCACACTTGTCGTGGTTCTAGTTTTGTGCTGCAGTAGGCGCTTGGGAGGAGCCGGTCTCTTGATTTTTGTGTCGTGCTTCCCCAGCAGGTTTGGGCAGAAGAAGAACCCAGCCTTGGCAGTGCCGCTGTCATCTTCTCCATCCCCGGGAGCGGGTTGCAAGGTGAGACATGAGCGTATTCTGGCTAACGTGAGAGCTGCCATTTTACGTTGCTCTAAAATGAAATGTGGACAATTGTTCTGCCTGGTGGAATGGGTGCATTGGGGTCCTGAACATTGGGAGTGGGTGGGTGGCGGGGAAAGATGTGCGGGCCCCCAAACCCCTGCGCAGATTTCGCACTCAGCTCCCAGGGAAACCGCGCGTCGGCTGTCGGCTGTGGGAGGGGGTTGATGTGTTTTTGAGGGGGCAGGATGTCAGCTAGCTGCCATTTTATGTTGCTTCTGTCCTTCCGTGCCCGCTTGCTCGCAGCTCAGCAGCTTTGCGTAACATTGCCTCGGAGATTGTGGGAGCTGGCTCGGCTAGACGGCGTTGTCGGTCTGGCCTTGTAAGGATGGGAGGGCTTGTGGTCCACCACTGGTGTGAATCTTTCTGCTCTCAGGGGCCCTGCGAGTCTCCCGCTCATTATGTAACTTCCTGCCGGGAGAATTCCCCCGTACGCGCTCAAAGTTCATTTGCTTAGCTATTCGCCTCGTCTGGCTATGTGTACGAATGTTCCCTCCCCATGGTCATTCCTAACAACAATCCTGTGGATATGGTACTGGCTTTGTACTCTAATAAAGCATAACGCTTCTCAGGAAACGTGTGTGAAGAGTTACTTGCTGTGGAACCTGACAAGAGCTGTGAAACTTTGCTCCGCGTTGAACACTCCTGTCAGAGGGGAGCATCCTTAGCCTTTTGACATTCCAGTACAGCGAAAGTGGCCACGGGAGTCTGTGTGTGCCCCTGTTGGGAGGGTCACTAGGCACGCCTGGCATTTTACAGTGGCACTTCTCAAGCAATGGGTTGGATCCCACCAGCTTTTTTGGGGGGGGGCTTTTAACCTTTAAGGAGGCCATGCCAGGGCTGACGAGAGCCGTGGAGAAAAAGGGGGTGTGGGCTAGGGCTTCAGTCTGTCAGCCGGTCGAGCAAGACCATTCCTCGTCTTCCTTGGGGGAGGGGAAAAACCAGCAGGATCCACTCCAGTGACTTGTCTAATTATGTTTGGGGCTTAGAGGTGATTCGGCCCTGGGCAGGTAGGGTGCTCAGTTTTAACACCAGCCCGACAGTAGTTCTGTCGTTTTCCGTACCAGCTGTAGACCGCAGTATCTTTCATAAGAGGCCAAGTTCTGTAGCCGCGAAAGCTCCTCCTGAGATTCTGTCTTTCCCCTTTCTGTCTGCAGGACACTGAAAGAGCGAGGAAGGAGAGCAAGAGCAGCGCTCCCTTTGACGGCCGGGGCGGGGAAGGAGAGGCCTCTGCAGCTCCCCTGGACTCCTCCTCTCTGCTGGCCAAAATGAGGGCAAGAAACCACCTGGTCGGACCCTGGAGAAGGGACGGTGTGAGAGAGGAGAGCCCCCTGCCGGCATCAGGGGCTGCGCCCCCTACAGAGACGGAACACGATGAGTTGCTTGTAGATATTCGAAACTTCATCGCCTTCCAAGCCCAGGTGGATGGTCAGGCCACCACTCGGGAGCTCCTGCAGGAGTTTGAGTCCAAGCTGACTGTGGAGCAGTCTTGCATCTTTCGAGAACTCTTGAGGAATCTCTGCACTTTTCATAGAAGCCCCAGCGGGGAGGGACTCTGGAAACTCAAGCCAGAATTTTCCTGATGGCGCTCTTGTGGCTGACACGGTCCGACCCTCTTAGTGGCTCTTTTAAAACTGACAGACGGGTTTTTGTATTTGCGTTCCTTGTACGTCATGAACTGATGCACGTGGGTTGCACTTAACTCTGCCTCCAGGTGCTGTTCTACGCCAGCGGTGCTCTCTACCTCACAGGGCAGCAATAAGAGGCAAAGGGGACCTTTCTTGTTTATCGGGGAAACCTTGCTGTGGTTGGGACTCAGGGTGCCTCGGCAGTAGCTTGTGGGCCTTCGGTGGGCGCTTTCTGATTCCTGTGGACCGGGAGGGTTGTCTGCATGTTCTGGCATTCCTGGGGCTCACAGGGATTGCTTTCAGTGCGGAGATACATTTGCACGGGGGGGTGGTTTTCAGGAAGCGGCATACGTGGAAGAGACATTCTGGTACCAGGAACGGTTTGTCGAAAGGTTCGAAGGCCGAACAGCTGTGTCTCAGGGCAGAATTCCCTCCTTGTGACCAGTCCAGGGGCAACGCCTCCTTCTGCTTGTCCCTTCTGCCCTGTTGGAATGGCTAGGAGTGAAAGCGCGGGACATGGCCATGCAGCGCCCTTCCCCTTCTGTGGCTGCCAAAGGGAGAGGAGGATTGGGGCCAGCCTGTCTCCCTTTCGGGGGCCCCTTGGACAGATTTTATCACTCCACTGGGCTGGGAAACACTATTGGTAAGGAAATCTCTAGATTGTAACAACCAAACATTTTTCACCCTTATTGCCTACCCAAGGAACACCTGGCTGCTTCCTGCCAAAATGACGTATGTGGGACAAGTGATGTGTGCGCCACGGGGTCCTTAGAGGAAGGGCGTGGGTATGATGCGAGGGAGTGCGTGCCACAGTCTCTGCGCCTTCTTTCTGAACGGGGAGGACCTGATTCCAGAGGGCTGTTCCTGAGGCTCGTTTCAGCCCATCTCCTGGCCACCTCAGGGAAGGATGGAGCAGTGCCTTGTGGCCCACACGCCTTCCGTCACGGCTTACAGGACAAGGGAAGGGGTCGGCCTCAGGTGGCTGCTGTCAGCTGAGTACTCCAGGAAGCGTGGGAGGAAGAAGTCTTAAAGCATCTGCAGGGAAGTGTGGAGAGCCAGAACCCACCCCTTGGTTTTGGTATCTCCCAGTAACTGTGGTGCTTTGGGAAGCCTCTTGGCATTAACGTTGCCCGTTCCCAGGGCTGCTGGCTCAGCGGTGCCCTTATTGGTTTGGTGCTAAGAGCTTGACAGTTATTTTGAGCTGATGTGTTGAAAAGGAGGAGAGATAGAGAGAGAGATCCCTGGTTTGGCCTGTCCTTTTTCATCCAGCGTCCAAGTGAGTGGGTAGAGCGGTGCCCGACTAGGACTTAGAGTGTCTGACTAGGACACAGTAAAAATCCCAGCAGCTTTATCGTAGCATAAGCTTTTTGAGAAATGCAGCTCTTTTCAGGGGCATCTAACGAAGAGAGCGGCGTTTCTCGAAAGCTCATGCTACAATCAAGCTCGTTGGTCTTAAAGGTGCCTCTGGGCCTTTTACTATTTTGCAGCAACAGGCTAACACGGGAGACTCCTCTGGATCTAAGACGAGGACTCGGGAGATCAGCTTCGAATCCCCCCAATGCCCGAAAGCTCTCTGGGCCACTCAGGGCAGGGTTGCTTTTTCTCAGCCGCATCTACCTCACAGGGTTGTCGGGGGAATACGAGAGGGGGGCAGCCGTCTCTGCCAGCCTGGGCTTCTTGGAGGGAGGGTGGGAGTGTGATGGAAGGGCACAAGAGGCAGCCCCTTGAAAGCCCCACCTTCCTACAGTGGTTGCCCCCCCCCCCCGGTTCCAACCCACACGGGTCTCAGTTTGCATCTCTGCCTGTTTGCATCTCCCACCCAAAGGTCTGAGCGTCTCCCTCCAAGCCAGGGTGGCAGGGAGAAGAGAGCCCGGGGGTGGGTGGGAATAATTTGAAAGAAGGGGAGCCCCCCTCTGGCCAGCTGGGAGCCGGGATGGGGTCCAAAGCCATGTGGGGAAGCCTCCTCCTTTCTTGGGGAAGAAGCTGAGCCACAGGTCTGGGGCCGGCCTTTCTGGGGCTGGCACTGCGGCACCAGGACAGGAACCGTGAACCGCC